GTCCTCAAACCAAACAAACAGAGCCAATGTACAGCCAGTCACATACAGTAAGATAATGTTTATTTTTTAGGGGTCGAGGAGGTGTGTCATTTCTGACCACAAATCCGTCCTGCAGTATATATTGAGGGAAAAAAGGGGAATACAGCCAAATAGGAACAAAATAATCCAAAACAATGTAACAAGGACTGCTGAACTACCTGGGAGAACACGGCAAGGTTTATTCAAATTCAAATGTGTCACATGCCACAGTAAACTAGGGTGATACGCAGTTTATCAGCTCAGAAAAGCTGTATCAAAGTGTCAGCCACTGAGTCCGTCGCTGCAATGGAGAACTACAGCCCAGACGACTTGTTTCGATTTAAAAGGAAGAACACAATGTCCAAACCTTCCTGTGCTGGCTACCACACAGCTGGACATCATCTTCACCGGTAAGAAAACATTAACTTTTTGTTATAATAGTAATGTCATTTTTCCCTAAAAAAGTCTATTGCACAACACCAAATAAAAATATGGGGGGGTTTTGTAGGTGAAGCTGTTTTCTTTGGCTATATCTCTCCATGCTGAATACCTACTTCTTGTGCGGGGGTTTTTCTGGAAATTACATTTGTGAGATCAGTCTCACAATTGAGGACTAGACATTTATCTTGACTTTTGACTTTTCAAAATCTGGCACCTACATTAGTCTGCAGACCCAACCAATCACTTGAGGACCTTTATGAGACGTCACACAGCTTCTTTTAGAGACCCTAAAGGCTTTGTAAAAGTTGTTTCACATATGCATCAGAGCAGAAAACCTGACGCACCAGAGGGTTTGTTACACAGAACCATCTGAGTAGTAGTTCATTGAAGCTGGCAGGGTTATGAACTGGATGATCTCTCTATCACCGCCTATCACAAGCTTCAGTTAATCAGATCATCAAGCTATATAATGTATTCAAACTCTTGTCGAAGTCATTAGGGAGGAGAGCGCAAAGATCTTTACCACGGGAAAAGCCTTCAGAGCCGTTCTTTGCTCTTTTTTCAATAAAGATAAAACTGATGCTAGCAGCATTAACGCTAATCTCTTCCACCATTGTTATTTTCACTGTCGTCACACTAAACCACACACATAGCTGCCAGTAGTTCCTTATAGGATGCTGATCGAACCACACAAGCACATTAACTTGAAGCTGGCAAGATGGAATCTCACGATATCATGAATCCAGCTGCCTCGCATGATCCCTAACATCTGGAAACAGACTTTGATCTGTGGACTGGTGAGCAAATTTCTCTCTGTCTACACTGGATCCTGAAGTTAATCAGCCCCAGAAGTGGCCTGTAAACCCAGTTTAACCTTCAGGAGTTTTCTGTTTGTTCATGCTGCCACCTAAGAAATACGTTCATTACCAGGAGAAAGTCTACCGAAGTCTTTACCAGACAGAAACGTGTCCTGTTAGCACAGTGGTCAGACCTTTTCTTGCAGACTCTCTTTTTGCAGATAACATTTTTCTTTAATCCCCCAATTTACACACTCACACACACACACACACATTCTCTGTTGACACCTGGGAATAATACATTTGCAATATTGTTAAACAGATTTGATAATGCAGTTCCATTTCCAACCTGGGGGACAGACAAAGTCTGAGACAAATGTGTTGACGTTTCATGTTTTTAGCAGCAAATCCTGACCTGCAGTTTATTCAGTTTGTGTTTGTGTTTCAAAGAGCGTCTGGTCTTTGTTTACACAGCACAACATGTGAGACTCAATCTGCAGCAGTGATTACTGTGTCACTAATGTCACTACATCGGAATATGAATCAATCCAAGCAATTAAAGTAAATTACTTTTCCTCAACTTTATTCCCAGAGCAGGTGGAATTAAATTGTCCAGCTCCAACTGTTGCAGCATTCAATAGTATTTACTGGATTTCAAAGAAATATGTAATATAAACACCAACAGAGCAAAGGGGGATATTGAGTACTACAGCAAGACATTCATTAGTATCCCAGTATAAGAATACGTAAGATATAAGAGTATAAAGAACCTGAAATATGTGGAATGACAATAAATGAGTGTATAGCTATATAAAGCTCATCTAATCATTATAAACTATGAATTTGAAAATTATGTAGGAAATGACAAAAATTATCAGCAAACTTGAGAAAAACAATGATTAAACAAAACTAGTATAGAACAAAATGACAGACCTCTGGAAAAGATTTGGCAAACAACTCAACACTGTTTGTATTTCAAAGTGCAGTGTGTGTGTTTGTGTGTGTTGTGTGTGTGTGTGTGTGTGAAGAGAGAGAGAGAGAGAGAGAGAGAGAGAGAGAGAGTTTAGTTACAAGTTGGTTTAGGTTAGACAAATAGTTCAACATTTTGAGTTGTCGTTGGTAAACACGGGTTTATTGACCAAAAGACCTCAGGAAGCTGCCGACAGTCACTGTGTTCCTGACTGCTGTTCAACAAGCTCTCCCGCACAGAAATCCCATAAAAACCATAAACTGTTGTTTTTACAATGAGTTGAAGATACAAAGCTTTAGAGGTTTTGTATTTTTACATTTTGGACAGAGCCAAGTCAGTTGACCACAGTGCCTCCAGTCTTTATGCTAAACTAAAATAACATACTATACATGAAATATCATGATTTACCTATTTGCAATTTACTGCATGCAGGCCAGAACAGTCTATTTTTACATTTTCCCAGGCAAAGTTTCGCACTGATTTCGTATGTTAGCCAGTTAAAAAGGACGCAGGAGGAGAATTTTATTTTTGACGTTATATTTTGTGGTTATAAAAAAAGGGACAGTGATGCATGGGTGAAAACACAAGTCAACCTTTTTTCGAGTGAAGGGAATTAAGAAATTTCCAAACCGATCCTGAATTGGCCCTCTTCCTAGACAGCTGTGTAATATGTCCGTACCTAGGAAAGTTTGCGGTGCAGCAAATGTGTACAGTCCATGGAGGTCATGATGGACATTACTGTAATACAGCTGCTTGTAACATTTTGGCCTTGCTATTGAGCTATATCTTGCTGTTGGTTTATTATCATTATTATGAAGACAGACTAGGGAATGTTGATAACTTTAGCTTTCTCAAGAAGAGCCGAATCGATTAGTTTTATGCTCACATGTAACATAGGTGTCTAAATGGTAGTAAAACAAAGTTTAATTAGTTTTTGTAATACAGTTACTGATCTTATAAACACAAATACATATACCATAATACAATAAGTTATTTTAACTCAAATAATTGTTGAAACGGATTACCTCAAAAGTTTTAAGTAACACAAAGATTCTTGATTAAGCAGCTTTTACTACTTCATTTAAGTGACACTGACTAAGTTACAGAAACATTCCTGATTAAGTACTTTTTATACTTATACTATACTTTTTAGTATTTTTTTCTTTAATTTTGTTTTCACAATACAAATTAAAAATTTAAAATGAAGTCAGTGTCACTTAAAATTACTAAAGTTACTTAAAGTTAAATGTTCCTTTAACTTAAAAATATTTATTTTTAGTTAAATTAGGTTATTGGTTTTACATTACCTCTTCACTATGCATTCTACAAACAGCTTTGTTTATAAAAGAAACATAGTATGTATCTACACATATATTTAAAAACAAATGCACACACTAGCCAGCTCAAGATTTTTATAATACAAGGCGGTGGAAACACAACTGCCTTTGTCCACAGGGGCTGCCAACATCGACACAAAATAAAAGTTCCCTGTAGCTGCATATTACCAAAATACTGAACTGTTCCTTTAAAGTTTGACTTGCAGGCCAGGAAAGCAGGTTACAAGCACAGAAGTGTGATTGTGTATGTGTAAATATTTGTATTTACTTTGTGTTTATGTGCCTGTTGAATGTGTGTAGTATGTGTGTGAAACATAACACTGAGTCAGGGAATGAAAGCTGAAATAGAGAGACACAGAAAGAACGAGAGATTGACATATAAACACAGAGAGAGAAGCTTTATAACTAAACTTGTCATTGTGGCCCAGTGACCCACAGCTGATATCAGTCAGCTCAGATTACACACGCACACACAGACACACACACACACACACACACACACACAAACATAAGCAGGATAATAGGCAGATCATATATCCTCATTCAGGCTGAATTTAAACAGGAACTAAACGTCTGTGGGGAAACTGTAACTTCTTCATATAGTCAACAGTTATTTAGATTCTTTGCAATGTATTTGTTTCACTTTGCTCCAGAGTGAATAATGGCGCCATACATTATGTGTTCTGCTACGGCTCTTCAGATGATTGATAACTGAAATTATTTTAATGGGTAGTGTGCACCCACAACCACCAGGAGGTATCTGCAAGCCTGCTGGAGCCCTTGCATACACCACTGGAATTCCACTCAATCAGGCATGATAAAGTAGTACAGAAAGTGACTTAATTATCAGAAACTGAAGTAACCACATAGTAGCAAGAAATGGGACGTGACCCAAGGCTGAATAGTAACAACCAGGCAAAGCAGGCAACTGTTTAGTGCCCCAGGATCAATAACTTCTTCACTAAAGGACAGTATCAACAATCAGCAACTGTGAAGCCCTGTCTTGTAGAGCGGCTGTTTACCTCTTATCTCTTATCCTATCTTCATTCTGTTTGTGCAGCCATGAAAAGTAAAAAAGAAAGAAGACATGTTCCCATGTAAACTTAGCCAGAAAGAGCCGCATGGGAAAACATCGTGTTCCCACTGACACCAAATGCCTCAACTTTTTCTGTCTGCCAAGATTTTATGTACATAAAAGTGTACAGCAGCATAGAAGACAGCCAAAATGAAACTTTACTCTTCAAACAAAGCTGGGTAAAATGTCACTGATCAAAGGTTTAAATGCACTCTCACACAAACACACACACACAACCCTGTCCTGCCGTCTGATTGGCTGTGACACGTGAGACGAGGAGGCCCAGCAGACACTCCCACAGGCAGGTGAAGGAACAGAGACTCAGGCTGCAGGGTCAGTTTACCTCTCAGTTCTCAGGGCAGCAGACAAACGGACAGGACAGCAGGACAGACGGGTGTTAGGTCGGTAGAGACTGTTGAGCGTGATGACAGAACAGTGTGTGAACCAGCAGACATCGCAGGACGATGCCAGGAAGTGTAACAGAGGAACTGCAAAGCGTGAGGAAAGGGATTATCAGTGAGTGTGTGACTGCAAACAGGGTCAAAGAGAAGATGTATACATTATGAAGCAATGCACTGGAGACACTGGTATTAGTTGTAGTAGTAGAAGTAGTGTTTGCATGCTGGCATCAGTTGTAAAATGTATTCAAGTAGTAGTTGTTATAGCAGTAGTTGTACCTCTGTCAGTGCCTCTGTCATATATCATTGTAAACTGGATATATTTTTTATTTTGGACCGTTGGTTGGTATCGAAGGTGTTACCTTGGTCTCTTTTTTCTATCAATAATGAAATAATTGTTGCAACTAGAGTCTGACCAGCTATTAATATTAGATAATAGATAATATTATTCTTGTCTTGTCTGTGTATACACTATTAAAGTACAGATATGTCAAACATATATTTAAGGTCATTTATAAACTAGTCTAAACTAATGTCCATTACATAGTTTGTCCACCAGAGAGCACTGACGAGTTCATTTTAAAGTTAGACGCCAGACATGTCACAGTTCTTTAAGAATCAAATTTAAGATTTTTTTCAACTGAAATGTTGGTCTTGTTTGTTTCTAAGTTTCGGTCATAAAATTAATATCAGTTGAGTCTGTTATTGGATTTTTGAACTCTCAAATATCTATATTAGTACCAGCCAATCCAGTGTGAGTCAGACTCTAATAAAGACCCTAATATCTATTTGCATTACTGTATGTCTCTATAAAGTTTCTCAACATTAGGATTAAGACCCCACTGACTTTGATTTTGTCTGATTTGCATTAAGTGGAGAATGTTTTCCTCCGTGTACATGAATTGGTTCTTAATCTACTCTTTAGCTGCTCCTGTTGCTGCTAAATGAAACATTTGTATAATTTTGTTATTTTCTTGCTCTCTGTAGTTCAGACGTAGAAAATGTGGAGGAGCGGCAGAGATATGAGAGGATGGTCAGCGAGTCTCTGCAGGCTGTTGATCCGGACCAACAGGAGCTCTCAGGCAGAAGGAAACCAGCATTAGTCAGGTAAACAACAGTTTTTTTAATATAATTTTCTTAACTAAACAAGACAGTTCCTTACTAAACACAAAAGGCTACTATCGTGGCTTTAAAATCCCTTAAGTCTGGTGTCTTTACTGACTGTACTAACAGCACTCACTCATTCATGCCAACTTTGTGGACGAATCCATACATTTTCAGTAAAATGCTACACGTACAGCATGTGAGCAAGTAAGAATCAAACAAGAGTTGCATCTTAATGATGTCAGATATTAGGAAACAGGCAACAAAGTTTGCTCTCTAACCACACTAAATGAAATTGAAGTGAAAATGTATCGGTGGATTCACTGTGTGAAGCGTTGCCTCATGCTTACGCTGGTCAATAATTAAGGCATCAAGTGAAAAACAAGTGTTAAAATCCATCAGTAATGCAGCCTAATAGAGAGAACAAAAACTATTTGTCCTTGTCATCGTAACATTGTTTTCAGGAGTTGGTGGAAACCAAACAAGAGCTATAAAGGGAATATTGGACTTAAACAAACCAGTTCATTATCTGTTTATTGCTGAATGTGTAAATATCTGTCAGCATGTGTTGATGTTTTTCCGCCTCCTAGTGGCCACAAATTGATTAAAGCAGCTTTAAAAATCTTTAATGCGATTTAATCTCAGTTTTTGATCTGATTTTACTGCCGTTAACATATAAAGATACCTGATGTGCTTCATGTTTTCATTGTTTTACGTTATTATAATATCTATTAGATTACATTTATGTACCTTTACTTGATGACCTATAATACATAGTGTTATATAAATATATTTGAATTAGAGTACCAAGGGTCACAGGCAAGCAGACATGTAAGGTGTAATATAACTGTTACTTTGATGTTGTTTCAGTTGTATAAGTTAATTCTTCTCTGTCTGTCCTGATTTTGTCTTCAGGTCAAAGACCTTCGACCACTCCCTGCTGACTCAGGTCCAGACAGACTCAAACCATAAGATAGAGAGAAAGAAGTCTCACTACAGCCAGGTGAGCATTCATTAAGTAAACCCTGATACATATTTTATTACACCTATAAACATTACAGTGTGGGAACTATCAGGTTGTTGTTTTTCCATCTGAGTAATATCAGATATCATTTCTGCTGCGTGGTTGTTATTGAATATCAGTTGTCTATCAACCCTTTACTTTAATTGATATGTGACTTATGATCATAATGCCACGACATATAAGCCTAAACCTAACAATGTCAGTGCAGAAAAACATCTAGGCATTCAATCTGCCGAGTCTAAGCTGTGTCTGCAACTCCTGAAATATAATTAATATTCACACTGGGCAGTTTACCAATGTGTTTATTTTCCCATGCATATGCAAGCATCATTAATGTCTATGTGAGCATGTTTCTAACTCTGTGTCTAACTGTGTGTGTTGTGTTTCAGCTTTCAAAGAGCAACTGCCAGTACCATAAAATATTTAAGGAAATCAGCAAAGAGGAACAGCTCAGACAGAGTAAGTCTTTAATAATCACAACTACCCGCTCCCCCTTAAATACTGAATGAGGGATTAGATAATAGTGGAACATTTGATACCTTAAACACTAGATAATGATTTAAAGGATAGGTTCACATTTGTCTGTCTGGCTATATGTAAATCATTTGAGTTCATGTAACCTTGTCTTTTTTAAAATCTTTTTCAATTGAAAAGGTCTGTCTAATAGATCTGAATTGTTTTAATGCCAATACTGTATTCATCATTTCTATCTTTTTTTCCACTAAACTAACACTTTAACACTTTTCCCCCCTCAGTAACATGATGCTATTTACCTTTCTGTCAGGTTACACCTGTGCTCTGCAGAAAGACATCCTCTACCAGGGACGAATGTTTGTCTCTGACCACTGGATCTGCTTCCACTCCAAGGTGTTTGGCAAAGACACAAAGGTACTTTAACTGGGGCAGAGTTTACTCTTACCACAAAGTATTGTTATTTTGAGCGTCGTGAACATCGAGCTACAACATGGAAAAGTTTTCTGTCCTTAAGGTGTTTGGCACAGAGTCCTCATGCCAGCGTCTCAAACAGAGACATCACAGTGCTACAGATTGTCTGTGTTTTCTGAAGACTGAGTGTTATCACGTCTTTCTGGTGAATACAGTGAGGTGCCAACAGCTGCAGGTTTGATTTGATGTTGGCTTAAATTATTAACATTCAGCTGGAGTCACTTCACAGAAAAGCACAGATCAAAAGAAACATTCAGTTTTATCAAAACACACTTTGTATATTATCCAGCTGACACTTCAGAACAAGTAACAAAGAATAAGTTAGTGATGTGCAGCAAGGACAAGCCATTTTTTAATCTAACGTCATTTTAGTAGCTTTTACTTTACTATGAAGTCTTTTGAGTTCTAGCTAGAGGCTCCCGGTCAGCATGGCAGAGTTTACACAATGTATATTTTAACAACCTTTATAAACTGGAAAGACACAACACCAGACAGAATATAAGGTTAATACAGGTTGTGGGTGGGAAGCCAGTGAGGGATCACATTATGCACTATGCTGGCTGGTCGGGGGCAGTAGGACAGAGGATATCAAACTTCCAAGAATGTTTTAAGAAACCCAGTCCTTTCAGTATTACTTTAAGAATGATTTCTACATCCTTGTGAAACAGGTGGTGCCAGAAGATTAGTGACCTACTGTTTACAGCTGCTGTAGCTATGCATGCTTGGTCTCTAACCAGCCAAGTTAACACAGTTCAATCAGACAATGTATTTGTATCAACTCATGTCTCATGACTTAATACCTTGCTACATACTGAGTTTCTATTCAAGCAAAGCAAGGTCATCCTTTCAAAGGCCAGCACTGCAAAGAGACAGTAAAGTTTTGAGGTGGGGTGAGCAGCTAGTTGTTGAAGTATTTTCTCATTTCAAATCCTCCTTTAAGAAGATTCGAGAATTCAAGATTATTTTATTGCCATTTACAACACAAGGCTGTAGAATGAAATTCACATATAGTTACCTTTATGCTACTTAAAATAAAAAATAAACATTGATTAATGAGTCATAAAAATAAAAAGTGTTTTTTCCACCAAAAAAGTATAATGTCTACATTAAAATCCTTAAAAAGGCATCTACTCCTTCTCTCATTAAAAAGTCAAGAATCTATGAATACGCAAATTTAGTTCATTTCTATGTTTTCCTGCCGGACACAATAATAGTAGACACAGTAAAGTCCATTCTCAGTGTTTGTGCAGTTTCTACATCACACTTGTAGAAGTTGCATACTGGACCAAAATACTGTACCCATACAACTCTATGGACCACCTTGATGTGTCAAAGTTCACTAAAGTTGAACTCTACACAAGAACTACACATAAGTGTGTGTTTTCTTCACTTGAAATGTAGTTGGTTCTTGTACATGCTGGTGTGATCAGGCCTTCAATCATATTGAAGCATTTTATCCTAATACCAAGAATTGTATTAGTCTACAATGCTACATGAAGAAGTGTTTCTCTGCTGAAACATTACTTGAATCATCTGATATGATTTATTTCACTGATGAGGTTTCAGAGCGTTTATAACAGTGTGACCACTGCTTCCCATAGGATGAGTGATACTGTCCCAACAGAGAGTAAACTAGTCCTTGCAGGGCTGAACTGTTCATCCTGCTGTTTGTCCATCTCAGATCGCCATCCCAGTGATATCCGTCACTCACATCAAGAAAACCAAAACTGCCATCCTGGTGCCAAACGCTCTGGTGATCGCCACCGCCAATGACAGGGTGAGAACTCATCATGATCTCATTGCTCACACATGGACACTTCACTCTGAAGTTTTGTTGTGAATTCTTCCTTTATGAACTAAAAAATTACCTGAACTATTTGTCTTTGTTTTCTGACAGCTTTACCAGTCTTCAGAGCTCTTGGTCCCATATAACAACACAGCAAACCTCCCAGGGCTTAACTGTTTTTCTGTGTCACAACCCCGGAAACAAAATTGTTGTGTTTTTTGTTGCAGTACGTATTCGTGTCCTTCCTGTCCAGAGACAACACCTACAAGATCTTGATGTCCGTCTGTCTCCATCTGGAGGTAAGACAGACCACCCACATGTCCCTGTTAGAAGGTCACAGGTAGAAAACCCATTAAATGCACATTTTAAACTATGTTTATGGTTTCGTTGATTTTAAAATTTTTGTTGTTTTATCAAACACAAGCAAATGAACTCAGAGATACATGGCAATGATGTTTAAACTTGGTGCTTTTCTTATTTCCTTTGTCTGTTTTTCGTTTTTTTATAGCAACATTAATTTAAATTGGGTGATTAAAAAGTGAAAATGAGGGAGAATCAAATCACTTTTGATTTGACTGGTTTGCTGAGACTTAATGTTTCTGTTGATATCATCTGGCCTTTTGGGAATGAAAACTTTAGAATATTTTGAGCATAGAAACTTATTATGTCTAATATGTACAGGAGAAGAGTCCATGCAGCAGCCCCATCCCCTCCTCAGCTGAGAACAGCTTCAGAGGTCAGAGGTCACCTCTATCGCCTCGCTTTCCTCTGGTAGGTCAGATACATACTCACCAGGACCACTTAAACACCAGATCAGTGTACAGCACGTGAGACTTTGTTGTGTTGCCTACATAACAAAAGCAGCACTTTTACAACATTCTTCCTTATGAGTCTGAAACATTTTGTATCTTTTCTGCTCCATTACATTCAGCTTACACAAGGCTAAATGCATAAGGCATACCAATGACTTAAGACTCATCAGAGCTGTTGTTGTAAAATGCTAGTAAAACTGATAGGTGGCAGATGGGGCGGAGAATAATAGCATTCCTGCAACTGCAAACTATTCAGGTGTGCCATATTGTTATATTTTTGTGTATAGTTTTGTATATTGAGGGGCTTCTTGTTTTATATACCACCCGAAAGCTGTTTTCAGTTGTCAGTTACCTCATCTCATCAATAATACTAAAAATTGGATTTCAAGTGCTCAATAAAATAAGTCACTCACCAACTATGTAACATATTTTCTGCGTGCCTGTGAAGAATTTTCCAGGTGATTTCAGCGATCTGGACGGAGCAGTGAGACAGCGGAGGCAGGAGTTGGAGGAAAGCAGCAGCTCTGACTCCCAGACCCCTGACTATGAGAAGATAGCAGGTATCACAACCAACAAACTATTTATCAACAGTGTAGCAGTCATACGCTACAAATGAAGAACTCATTTGTTACTGTTAAACAATAAGGAGAAAAAAGAAAAAGTTGACCATTGTGTCTTATTCTGCGGAGGAGTTAATTTATCAGCTGCAACTTGTGGTTAGGAGGTTTTCCAGGGCCTATCTGAGTATGAAAGAAAGATGGCAATTCCAAAAGAAAGCCTTTTTTTTCAAGGACACTAGAATAAAGGTCAAAGTCAGGCTGAGCCCTTTAAAGTTAAAAGTCTTCCAATTGCTTCCCCTGCTTCCTGTCCCTTCAATGCTGCAGAGTTCCCTGTTCCTCCATTTCTGGATGTGTTGAAGCACACAGAAGGTGCAGCTCCTCCTGAACATCCAGACCATCAGCACAAAGCGAAGAACCAGCATCAGAAACAGCCGAGCCCAGACAACAAGCAGCATGACACACACCACGCTGGTATGAATATTGTCCTGTCTGCAGTCAGTCTGCCACTCTCCAACTGCATCTAACACAGAAAAAATACTCTGAATTTGCAGGCTCCAGATGTTTTTATTACCCTATATGGTTTATTATTTTCAGATTATTTATATATATAAGTTAACTTTCCTCCCTGTTGGGGCTGTTGGTGCTGAATAAACAACCCATCAGTAAAAAACATGTATGTCAATAACACATCTTCTTTTCTTTCTGTTTCCAGGCTCTGAGCTGGTGATTGACAGCAGAACTCTGAAACCAGTTTCTCTCAACACTGTGCTGTTTGTCTACCTGTTTCTGTGAGTTTACTACCATTCATTCATTCAGTTCTTCCTAAATTTATTAATTTATTAATTTATTTGATTCTTCCATTCAGTCATTCAGTCTCTTACTTCATCACTTAGTTCATCATTTAATACCCATTCATTCATCCATTAATAAATATATTCATTCACCTATATTTCATAAATTCAGTGATTCATCATGTATTTATTAATCTGTCATCCAACTGTGTTTCAATCTTCATTTATTGATTGAATTATTCATTAACAATGTTGCACATTAAGTTCTTGTTGATTTACTAATTCAGCTATGTATTAATCTAATAATGCATTCATTAACATGCTCCCTCATTTATTTATTTACTTCATTAGGTTAATTAACTTTTCATCAGTCCAACAATCCTTCCTTTATTTAATTATGGTGTGTGTGTTTTCTTAGAGTGTGTTTCCTGGTCTTGTCTTCCTGTTACCTGGCCTTTAAGATTGTTTCATTGGAGCAGAGACTGACGACGCTTGGCTCCATCAGCGACTTCACCCACCAAGAGTGAGTTTACACTCAGCCTGGAAAACCTGGAAAACAGAGCTTGAAAAACTTCATACAAACTGATTTGGAACAGATTTATAAATAAAATTATTAATGTTTTCCTACTTACCTGCCAGCCTTTAGACTGAAATAAGATTAATTTTATTAATCCCACACAGCAGTGAAAAGGCTGAACAGGAACCTCTGCATTCAGATTGATAACCTTAAACACAAATGTATTACTTTATACATCAGTGACAGCTGAAGTCATGATATCACATCCTGTCTAACATCTGTCCCACTAGCTTATCTCATTCAGCAGTTCTTTCATCAGGCTTTCTGGAAAAAAAAAAAAATATTTGTTATTTCCAAGATCACAAATGTGAACAGGACTTTGAATGTGGTTTTATTATTTCAGGGAGAGAACCCGGATGTTCCAATTTCACTTTAGCTGTCTATAAACATAAGAAATGATAACAGAATAATAAATGAAAATGGTTATAAATCTTACATATACCAAAATATTGATATTCATACTCTGTTGGCACTATAGCTGTAGTAGAGAGAAAGCAACAGTTTTTTTTGTTTCTCTTCAAAGTGACTGAGATCTGGTGTTTTCTAATCAGTGCAAAAAGCAGCACAGTCACATCCTTTTGGTTCTCACCTAAACCACAGTAACACATACAGTATTACAGATCAAATGATATGATTTAGCTCTTTATTTTATTCATTCTGGATGTTTACGGAAGCGTCTGAATCTTTTCTGAAGATATATAAAAACTCATGTCCTCCATTGTGTGTTTTCATAGAAATGACTTTCTGAAGGGGAGTGACGTGAACACAGATCTTTTCTCTGAACTACTGACCATCAACCTGGTGAAGCTTGAGAAGGTCAGTCTGTCTTTCTGTCTTCCAATCCCATACATTCTTGTTAGTTTATGAGTAATTTATGAGTAACAGTTGCCTGGGAGGAAACACAGACTGCCATTCTCTAGAGCGCATTTTATTGCCAAACTTCCAAACATACAACATAATGCAACACCATGTAAACAGCGCCCTCTGTATGTTGGCTGTATCAATAGAGACTTAAGGTGACGATACATCAGTTTCTCCTCAACTGCCCAAGCATTCATTGTCTATAAATGTTTGTTGGTGCTGACTATAGTCCCACTGACTTTTGATTTGTCTAGGAAAAAACATATAATCAAAAAGTAGAGGGAAAATGTCATTTTTTGTCAATTTCTTCAAAGTAATTACTGGGTAACCTTATGTTAAGGATGTTTTTCCCTCCATGGCATCCCTTCATCAACATGTGAAACCACACATTGTGTCAGAAACAGAAGAGGACAGCTTTAAGTTTCCAGAGAGCAAAGTGTAACCAGACACTTGTCGCTGTTAATCAAACATTTATAGTCAGTCAAAGAGAAGCATGGCGTCATCTGTAAGAAGAGCTTGTTTCTCATCCATAAGTCTGCACACGTGTCTGAGCAACATTAACAGGCTGGCACCCGTCTCCTTACAAACAGCAGCCACATTCATGTTGAACATTGGGAAAATAAAGTGCAGTCTCATCAGCAAAAAGACTAAAATTGTCAATTGTAATTGGCTAGTCCATTTCTAGATCCACTGTATCTGGTTGCAAATATTATATATTATAAATAGGTGCTTGATCAATTGGAAATGCAAAGATTTGTTTATGTAAAATGTTACCAAATGTGACTAAACTTACTTACCAGTCATAAATCTACTTCAACCTGACAAACAAAGATAAACAACACATTCCTTTATGCTAAGCTAGGTTATCTCCCAGATCCAGTGCTGGGAGGCAAATAGCTCTAGTATGAGATTGGTATAGGTCTTGTCAGCTCACTCTTGGAAAGGAAGCATCTAAGTATATTTACCAAAACGCTGAATTAATTCTCTAGAATAGAAAAGGTCAGCAGGCTTGCTAACAAGCTTACATGCAGAGATATAGGCTAGTAGGGCCAATTTGAACCAGAAAACCTAGATAACCAGGATAGATGTACTGTAGTTTTTTAGAAAATAACATGAACTCTTTTCTCCTTAGTGGATACTAAAAAACTCTGCAAGCAGTGAAACATGATACAAGATTACAGGAGCTGTGACTCTGTGAAATTGTGAATAGTAGAAAATAGTCTTAGTAGACTGTAGTATATTAATGTGCATTTAAGCATCATGTCTTACAACAAAGAGTTAAAACACAATGTCTGTTCTTCCAGGTGCAGAAGAACCTGCAGAGGCTGCTGGATGAAGCTGCGTGAATGTACTGGAAACCAGTACATTAAGATGAAAGCTGTATACAGTTCTGTAAATACACTGTAAATATATAGTTTATTATAGTGGATGTTACAACCTGACAATACTGAGATGTATTGGACTTACATAAAGGGCTTGGAAATTATGATACGCACAATCACTTTAAATACTGTTTTCATTGCAGCTGTAACCACACCCAGTGGTGATGTCATTGTATACAGGCACACTACTGCAGTAAGGTGAAAATTTAACCCACTGGAGGTGAGCAAAAACAAGATTTTCAGCTTATTTTGTTAAGTAGCTCTTGTAACTGCAATTACAGGCCAACCTGTGGTTACTGTTTCATCTGCTGATTAGAAATCAAACCTCCTGGTTAAATACAATAGTATTGTAATAGTGTTGCATTTGCTTGATGCAAATGTAATAGAAACAGTAGTATTTTAAAGGGTCTGACACTTCAAGAGAACAGTTTTGGAAGGCAGTGGTATTGCTCATTATATTTTTCTCTCTGTGAAACAAAATATTTTTTCTCAGCTACTGTTGCTGTATTAACTTTTAATGAAGTGAAAGTTTGGATGTTTTTCGGCCAATTCACTCAGGCGTATGTTAACAGTACTGTGCATCTGACTAGATCAAGGCTGTGTTCTCAGCGGTGCATTTATCTTCTGACTTTTGCCTTGTTAGACTGATCCCATTGATGTTCTCTCAGCCGACTGAAATAGCAAACACAGAAATGACATGTAGGACTGACAACCAGCTCTGGACTTCAGCCTTCATTGGCCTGGCTGGAGCTGCTTTTGTAGATACTTCACAACCCCTGACTGGGTTTATCTCATGCTACCTTAAGGCTGTCATTTCTGATGTAAACTAGAAATGCATAAAACCTACAGTGCAATGTAGCAGGTAGTTAGCTGCTGCCTCAGCCTTTATGGGGACCCAACAGCTCTTTTCCGCTTCAGTGACCTGAGGCTTCTTGTTACATGGTGGCTTTAAACCTCTGACACTGTTAACACAGAACCTTTGGTTAAACTAACTGTATGTATTGATGCATCAGCTGAATAACTTGACATGCAGCTGTAACCACATGTGTAAACATCATTAAGCTTATTATGATTCATAACAGAGATTTACATAATAGACTGTTACAGGAATGGCTGTGATTCTGTAAATATAGGGAATTATACACAGAGGGTCTATACACAGATTTACTCATTTTATTTTCCTCTGTTGGGGAATGAAGTTCTATTTTGAAATAAAGTTTTATTTTGCTGTTATGTTTCTACTTTTTCTTTTCTATTACATATAATGTATTTGCCACATTCCCTGTTTAAGTGCTGTCAACCTTTCATTTTGAAAGTCTAACTGGAAGTTGCATATTTATTATTCAAGTTATTATTAACTTGACCACAGAGTGAGAACGTGTAGTTTTGACACCTGGGTGAGGCAAAACGTGACAATGATACGGTGGACCGGGAGCTCCGTTACACTCTGTAGTGTGATACCGGGTTGCCAACATGACCCTGACACAAAAGCTGCATATGTTAAAGGTGACCCTTTCATTAAATCTGTGCATGCCCCTTCCTTATGGAACTTACATCACTTTAGAGGTCTCTTTAACAACTTACATGCACATTTTGTAGTACAGACACATATGCCAAGAAATTCTTTGATCTGTTGCTACTTACTCACCTGAAAGTTAAAAATAACTAGCTTATTCTTCAGCCAATCACATCCAGTAGAATCTAAATTAGACCACTGTTAACCAACAGTTCACAGATTCATTCCCAGTCTCTTCTTGTAATCCTACCCACTACCCACCATGCACTGGGAGGTTTCTAGGGCGACCCTGACAGTCAACAAACATGGCTGCTGCTGCAGGGAGCTCTCACCAACATGAGTGAGTAATCTTCTGAATTTTATACTGAACAATGAACTACCAAGGTCAAAACCAAATTAATAATGATTATATTTGATTACTATAACACAGCAGTGGAATCTCAATTTCTTATTTTGAGAACCGCACGCGTTGAGGGGTAGCGTGATCTTCCATCAGGAAAAGTGAGCTACACTTCTCCATCAGGGTCTGTCTGGAGCTTAGTTAGAAATCTCCAATACTTTCCTTTTAAGGAGCAAATTTGAAAAAAATAAAAATGTTTGGAGAGTAAAGAATATTTTGGAAAAGAGGTGAGCTTAACTCATTTAATTTTGATGGATTGATAATATCACCTGTCATTACTATTTGTCAATCATTTCCCTCATTTTGCCGTGGTCCTCATTTCATCTTCTCAGTGCTGACGAAAGTGCTGCACTGAAACTAATCTGAACCTGCAATGACTTTAATAAAAAAAATGGTAGGAGATTTGTTGGACTCAGTGGTCTACATTACCTGAGAAATAAAATAACTATCTTCTCATATTCACTCTGAGGCGATCCTGCTCCCATATCCCGGCATTCTCAGCACGACATCCCATGATCCCCAAACTGTATGTGATGCCATGGAAACAGGACATGAAGAACCAGAGGCTCCTGATGAAGGTAGATACCAGGGAAGGAAACAAACACATCTCATTGCAAACTCTTCAGTCAGAGTCACAGTGTGTGTGTGTGTGTGTGTGTGTTTGTGTGGATGTGTGTGTCAGAACGCAGCTCTGGCAGGGATCCCTGTGGTTCCACTTGAGGAGTCTCTGTGTTTTTGTGGTCAGGAGCGTCTCTGCTGCAATCAGGACTCCACCCACCACTCCACCTCTTCATCCTCCTCTTCTTCTTCTACTCCGCTCAGCCAGACAGGACTGACAGCTCATCACACCTCCCACTTCTCCAGGTAAAACACCTCAGAGACCAGCACTGCATTCAGGCCGTGACAGGAATCAAGAAAAGTCAAGTTTGCATGCTTTAAACTAAAATGTTTGATGATTTGCTGAAGGCTGTGGGACATAACAAATGAGTCATAAATAAAATGAATTATTGGTCACTTTTCACTTGTGGAAGTGATAACATCACATCTTGTCACTCTCTGTTTCCCTGCAGGTACAACAGCTCTGTGGTGACGACAAGGCAGCTCTACCAAACCTGAAGACACATCACATAAATACTAATAAACCTATCTGCCTGTGGTTCTCGTCACAGCTGTGCATTTAATATAGTTTGGGCAGATACTAATACAGATACCAATAGTGAGAAATTAGTCATTTAGTTCAGTAAGGAAAAGGTGGATTAGTCCCATTTTAATTCTTGTGCCTTCCTCAAATTTTCTACCCTATGGACACCTTTGTGGCAATAATGTACACACTCAAAAAACTGCTATTAAATCATCATACATCAATATTTTTTCTGCTTTTTTTTTCATAAATCTCTTAAACAACTTCAAACTTGCTCAAAACTACCAAACATTAAATAATAATCAGGAATGCTGGAAATGAACTGAGCTAAACTTAACACACACACACACACACACACACACACACACACACACACAAACTCTTGCATCAGCCTATAGGAAATGCTTTAATCTGGTGGAGTACAGTAACATTTCAAATATCACTATTTTTCTTCAAAATGAAATGCATGGTTTTATACTGTAATGCACTGTTATTGCACTGTATTAGCAATGAAGGTGTCCAGAGGGAGTATTGCTAATCTTTGACATATCCAAGACTCTAATCACCACCAAAGCCCCATCCCCCTACTATTTATTATATGGAAAATAATAAATTTTTTGTGGGGTTTTTTGTAATAAATAATGAATAATTCAAATAAATTAAACAGGCAATTAAAGGGTTAAAATCCTGAAAATAATTTAATGTCTAGGTACTTTTGAGCAAGTTTGAAGTTGTTTAAGATATTTATGAAAAAAAGGAAAAAATCATGCCACAAGCTGTAACACAGCCAAAATGATCACCAAATAAATAAAAAAAAAGGTGAGAAAAATGTACAAAAATGCCCGAGGAGGGCATAAGGGTTATATCAAAAGAATAACCAGGAATAAACGTTGTCCGGCTGGACACAACATGTCTTTTACTACACTGTAAAGTCAATTCTCAATGGATGTGCACTGGAGGCTTCAAGTTTCTACATCCAACTGTATAAGTTGTACACTGGACCAGGATGGACTTCCAAACTATTTGTGATGTCTCAATTGATAGCCTTTCTGCACAGGGAAGATCAGACATCACACTGTAGGAACAAGAAGAAAAACTAATTTTTTAGTGGAGTTGAGTGGAGATGTTTTATCATCAACAGACTGAAGATACACTGTGAGGCCGCAAAGAGATAAATGTACAGATACACTTTCTTCAGAATTTTGAGAGAGAGAAAAAATAATACAGGAAAGGAGTATAAAACCTTGAATAATAATAATTTAATGGCTGCTGAAAATACTGGTTCCTGATTTGCTGAAAAGTCTTTTCGAATTATTTATGCAGGTTTCAGAGTCCCTGCATGTCCCTTTTCTTCTTCCACATCTGTGTTTACCTCACGCCTTCATTCACCTGTATTAACTCTCTGTTTTCTATGTGATGGGTTATAAAATATGATGCAGAGCAAGCTGGGTGACTTTCCCATTTTTATCCATTTGCTTATATAGAGCCTATTTTAAAACAACAAGGTAAATGTCCATTTGATTACACTCAGTCTGTTCTTGCAGTTCTTATGTTCACCACAGGGAGTCAGTGTTTGTAAATGTAACTTACAGATGTAGCTTCAGCACCACAGACAGAGTATCCGGTCTGAAATATGTCACTTCAGATTCAGTTTTAATATCCTCTAAAGTCAGGATTATTTTCACAATCTGATGGACAGCATGGCCCCAAGAGCTGCCTCAGCGTTTATTTAATCTTATTGGAACAACTTGCTGTTGCCAGGTAAAGTTTATCATTTTAAAATCAGTTTTAAAATGTTTGTTTCATATTAAGTGTAGGTCCCAAGTGTCCCATAAGAAAATAATAAGGAAACATTTTAGACAATAGACAAATGATTAGGGTGACAAAACAGTGAAAGTTTGTGATTACTAAAGAGACACGCTCAGGATTCCATTTAATAATTTATATATAATCATTATTATTATTATTATAACACTGTCAAATTAAGAAGCCTCTGACTTACAAAATGTAATCTAATCTTTAAGTTGAATAAAGTTAAACTGGTTCCACTCTGTCCTTGTATTTATTGTCCAGTGTTTGGCTTCAGCATCAAGCACTTTGACAGAGAAAGCAGCTCTTGTTTCCTATGCTAATGATCACACACACACACACACGCACACACACACACACACACACACACACACATACATTTCGCCTCCCTGCATGCGAACCTAGGCCTCTATGTAGATGTCTCAGTGTGTCACCAGCAGTGATGACAAATCTCTTTGTTTTATGTTAACACACACACACACACACACACACACTTAAACTTTGGTTTAAAGTAATGATGGTTATATATAACGTTTTACGGTTTTATGACATTTCTTTCGCTTTTGGAAAATGACAGTTCTGCTGTCAGTCAGTATGAGCCGGGTTTGGATCACTTCGCCCTAACACTTAAACAAAATATACAAATTCATTTTCCAGTGTTACCTAAACTTTATTGGGTAAAATCACTATTGCTATCTCATCTTTTAAAGTGTCATTTGTGTCTCTTCCTCTCGACTTGGATGCGCCAGGACGCGTGCCAATGTTTGGTGCGTAATGGATACCGATCTGTCATGTCTTCTCCTTCCTCCTCCTCGCCGCTATGTTACCGGCTGGGATGTCTCGAGAGTCCAGAGAGAGGAGGAGAGAGAAAGAGTTAGATGACAATAAACCGTTTGAGTCGCCATCTGAGAGGACGATACTCGTGGATGGATGGACAGATAGAGAGGGAGAAAGAGACACAGACGGAGAGAGACAGAGTGAAAGTGAGAGAGAGCTGGTGTCCTTTACGCACATTACGCACAGATCTTTGCCGTGCGTCCTGGCGCATCCAGTAACCAGAGTTTGTAAGAGGACAGCAGAGGAGTGAATGACTGTTGGTGTGTAACTTTTGAATCTAAATGTCTTATTTGGACTTCAGGTGCATGACTTATTTCCCTGAGTCTCTGCGGCAGAGTGTCTCCACTCCAACTGTTTGGTACTAAATGCTGCGGCGTTGTTACCTGGACCTCCCCGTGGTTTTGGAGCAGGTGTTTATTTCACGGTAACAGTTTGTCTCTCGGTGCATTGGTGACACTTTGGACTGGTTTTATCGTCTAACCGGGCGGACATGTCGGGACAGAAACCGTCCTTGAAGAGCGGTGGCTCTGCTCAGAGCCGCTTCCAGGTGGATGTGGTGACAGAGGCATCATCCGCAGCGCCCACAGCAACCGCGGCCCCGGCCCCTGCTCCTGCCCCGACCTCCACCGACGGATCCAAGCAGCCTGATGAGTCTAAAGGTCGGTTCAGGGTGGTGGGGTTCTTGGATTCCGGCGCGCTGGGCAGCGCGATGGACATCGGCCTCCCGCCTGATGTGTCCTACGAGCCGGACACGGCGAGGAGCGACTCGGTCAGCCTCCATTCAACGGGCACAGGGCACACGCACATCTCCGACTCCCACTCCAACACCTACTACATGAGGACCTTCGGACACAATACCATAGACGCTGTGCCCAACATCGACTTCTACCGGCAGACTGCTGCGCCCTTCGGGGAGAAGCTTTCCAGACCTTCGCTGTCGGAGCTGCACGATGAACTCGATAAAGTAATGACAATAACCCCTGTTTCCATCACTTAACATAACTTTAGATTTCACAGCGAAAGCAACTTGTTCCAATGGGACGATTTTAGATATTAGGATCTCACAATCAAGCAAAAGTGGAAGAAGTATTCTATTTACTCTTTACTTAAATTTAAAGGTCACTAAATTAAAAAGTTTACTTAAGTATTATTATTAGCAAGTGAGTATTATTAGTAGCCTACGTTCATAAGTAGCATACTTTACTAACATTGATGATAAAAAACATCAGATCAATTCAAAAATCAGTTTATCTAATTGTTCCTACAGTGTGATATTTGATCTTCACTGTGCAGAAGATGTATGTACAGAGTTTGACACTAGAAGATGTTTTTCACATTCATCTGCTGAAAGTTTCTCTGTTGCTCGTTGAAAGTGCTGATTCTAAGGGGGCGGGGCCTACCAGCATGATTTAAAACTTTATAAATAGTTTGGAAGTCCATCCTGGTCCAGTATGAAACTTATACTGTGTGATGTAGAAACTTGAAGCCAGCCAGTGCACATCCACTGAGAATGGACTTTACAGTGAAGTCAAGAGGAGCACATCTTGTGTCCAGCAGGAAAACTTAAATGAACAAAATTGAGATATTCATAGATTCTGGTATGAGATGTCTTTTTTTGAAAGATTTATTTTTTGTTGGAAAAAACTTACCAAATACACATTATTGTTACAAGCAGACTATTTGTATGTCTTAATACATGTCTGGTGGGATCTCTAAAGGGCCAGTGTGTAGGATTTAGAATACATCACATAAACATGCAGGAATATTATAGTGAGAGAGCTGTAATATTTTGGACTGTAAATCAAATTAATTCTGCTTATTTTCTCAGTTTTCATTTGGGTTGTATGTTGCCCTAATTTAAAGACCAGAGAAGATTGCACTTAATATGCAGTTATCATTTCCTTCTTGTCCACCTGACAGAAGTCACTTTATCTCAGTGAAGAGAAAACATTCCTATCACTCCCATCTGAGAGACCCTGAGTGGGCTCAGTGACATCACTGGAGGCATGACCGCAAAACACACACATACACATACACACACACACACACACACACACACACAATGCTGCCTCTCATGACCCTGTAGGCATCCCCTGCCACGCTCCCACTCCTTAGATACAAGGTAGCTGTAACATAGATGTACATTGTACACTGATACAGTATTCTGACAGCAGGACGTTGGATGACGTTTGAGCTCTCGTTACAATGACTTCAAAGGTGAAATAGCACACAGACATTTTCAGCACATCATATAGTTTAAGAGATTACATTTTCCTCTTTTCAAGGTGCCAAAATCAACATATAAATGTCACAGACAACTTAGTGAGGCCTCGATTCTAGTATAGTATAAATTAAACACAACTGTGTGGTTGGCATGAGGAGCACTAATGTGTTCTTACTTTCACATTTTATATGTGCCACAATATTTCTGTGCAGGGAGTCACTTTAACCAGTTCTGAGAAAGTTAAGAGTTTTGTCTTCAAACTAATTAATAATCAGGGTTGGTTGAGTTGAAGGAAGATTTCTCTTTATAAAATTATATATTTTATTTCAGTGTATAACCACCAGAAAATAAGAATCATGTTTTTACCTCAGAATGAGTCATTTTTATCTACAGATGCCACGGAGCGCCTTTATGTTTTTTGTAAGTTACATGGCCACGGTAGCTTCTCCTACACGTTTGGAACGAGAGGACGAGGCGAAGTGGTTGTAATCTGCAAATACACCACTATATTTAAATTAATGTAATGTAAATTAATTTATGAAAATCAACACTTTTTAAAGAGTTGAAAACAGCAAATGCTGATCACAAGTTACCAGAGCCAACGTTCCAATGTCAAATATTTGTGACTTTTGTTTTATTAACTAAATAAAATCAAACAACTGTTGATAAAAAAATGATATTGAAACCTAATACAGTCTATTGATTTTCCGTTGATGAACAAATTGATTAACTTTGCGTTTCAGCTCTGGTAAATTTTCTCTGTTACTCACCTGTCCATTTCTTTGTCTTTCACTCTTTTCCATCTTGGCTGTGATTGGTTGTCAGGAGCCGTTTGAGGATGGTCTGGCCAATGGAGAGGAGCCATCAGCAGCTGAGGAGGCGGCTGCGGCCTTGGCAGCAAAGGAGGCGAAAGGAGGAACTATCAAGTTTGGTTGGATCAAAGGAGTCTTGGTTAGTAAAAGTTCATTTGTCTGTGTCTCAATGTGATGTTTGATATGATCTCATCAAATATATTAATGAGGGAGAGAGCACCACAGCCTGTTTTAGTTATATTTATCACATTGTGTGCCTACAACCTGGTACTTATAAGATTAACATGTGTTATGTTACAGGTCCGCTGTATGCTGAATATTTGGGGTGTGATGCTCTTCATCCGAATGTCCTGGATTGTCGGACAGGCTGGAATAGGTACAAATAAATCCAGTTTGACTTTACTTTTAAACAAGGGTGAGCTCAATCTCCTTGAGGGGGCTTCCTGCCTCCAGAACAACCAATCAGAGAAAAGCTTTTCTCAGTGGATGTGTTATTTTGAAAGCAGTACATAGGCTGTATCCTTAAGACTCAATTTTTTTTCTTCATCAACAAATCCCACGTGTAGACCAATACCAACAATGAATGTGTCCTACTAACAAGTATTGTGTGTGAATTCAAAGCGTGATATATCTTACTCCTCTGTGCCTCCTCATTAAAATCTTTTATAACTAAGTTGTTTGTTTTGTTCATTTTATTTGTAATAGGACTGACCATTGCGATCATTCTGATGGCCAGTCTGGTCACCACCATCACTGGTCTGTCTACCTCTGCTATAGCAACCAACGGTTTCGTACGAGGAGGTGAGACAGCAACTTTCACAAGCTTTTATTTAGAAAATGTTTTCTGATTAGTGAAAATATTTATCACCCAGTTTCCCTGAACCAGACAGTATTCAGGGTTTGTTACAACGACAAAACAGAAATTTAAAAAAAATTATGACTGGCTGTGAAATTATTTGCATTTAACAACTGACATTAAGTGGTGTCCCTGAGAAAGACACTAAATCTCTAAAGTTAACCAGTACCACATGATGAAACAGTGATTAATGCTGATTATGACTGCTGTCCAGGAGGGGCGTACTACCTAATCTCCAGGAGCCTGGGGCCAGAGTTCGGAGGCTCCATCGGCCTCATCTTTGCCTTCGCCAACGCCGTGGCTGTGGCCATGTACGTTGTAGGCTTCGCAGAGACAGTCGTTGAGATGCTTAATGTGAGAAATACTTTGGTATAAGCATTCAAACATCCGTCTGTCTGTCTACCGAGCACTGATTCTGATATGGCTCTTGTTCTTGCTTTGTTGTTGGCTGCAGGATGTTGACGCTCTGATGACTGATGAGCTAAATGACATCCGTATCGTCGGAACTCTGACTGTCATCCTGCTGCTGGGAATCTCTGTAGCTGGGATGGAGTGGGAAGCCAAGGTAGGACTGTGAATCCACAATATCACAGAAAACAGTGGACACCCAAAATCTTCTGCTGACATGTCAAAGACTGACACATGATGCTCCTAGTAAAGTAAGTGGTAGGAAGAAAACATGCAAATCTTTTTCCTGAAAAGTATGTAGATGCATCAAAGTCAAAGTGAAATCAAATTCTCCCCATTTTTTTTTACATATTTGTCGAAAACAAGGTTCTGGGTGGGTGTTTCTCATGGCATATCCACAATGTATTTTAGAGTAAATGTATAGATGAGAAAAGTACAATCTGCATTGCTCTAGAGAAGACAATGTTGATCCACCACTTTGGTCTAGACTGAAATATCTTAATGAAATGAAATATGAAATATCTGTTGGTGGACGGTCATGATAATACCTACATTCATGTTCCTCTCAATATGAACTGTAATAACTTTGCTGATCCTTTGACTTTTCATCAAACGTCATCATCAGGTCAATTTCTTTTATTTGTCCAATAGTTTGATTTATGACCAAATACCTGTAAAAAAAATAATGAATTCCCACCAGCCCCAGCTGTACTTTGTGTTACCACTAATTAGCAAATGTTAGCATGCCAACAGATAAGATAAAGGTAAACATTATACCTGTTAATCATCAGCATGTGAGCACTGTCACTGTGAGCATGTTAGAATGCTGGTGTTAGCATTTTGCTCAAAGCACAGCTGTGTCCTGTGAAAAGGTGTAAAGTATCTCCCCAGATTCAAGCAATCAGCAAATGTTGTTGCTGGTAATGGGGTAATTTGATTTTAGAACATCAAAATATTACAGTGTGTTACCCACCCGTCCATTTCTTTCTTTATCTCTGTCTCTGTCTCCATCAGGCTCAGATTGTCCTCCTGGTGATCCTGCTGGCAGCCATCGCTAACTACTTCATAGGAACCTTCATGGCAGTGGAAAACAAAGAGCCCAAAGGATTCTTTGGATACCACAGTCAGTCTGCTGCAATCTCTTGTTTTATCCAAACCAAACTTTTGGTCTATTCTATGATCCAATCCGTCAAATGTGTCCCAGACCTAACATTTGCAGTATTTGTATTTTAATATATTATCTATATATTCTATTTTGGCTCTCTCCTCCTTCAGCTGCCATCCTCTTAGAGAACCTGGGTCCAGACTTCAGAGAGGAGGAGACGTTCTTCTCCGTGTTTGCCATTTTCTTCCCTGCAGCCACTGGGATCCTGGCTGGAGCCAATATCTCCGGAGACCTCACCGTGAGTTCTTACATTGTGCATTTTACATCAAGCGCATGTTAGAGTTTGACACTCAGTGTGATTGATGGTTAACAGAGATTTAGTGTAGTACTAAAAACTAAAAGCTCTCATCTTGCTTTAGTGATTTTCTTTAAAGAATTAATGTGCTTAATGGAAGAAGGAAAGAGTTTTTCTGAATAAGTTCTGATGTATCGAATATTTAACTCACATTACTGATCAGATGTTTCCCCTCTGACAGTCTCCTTATCACTTCCATGGCTTTATAATATCTCCATGATCACTGCACAGAGATCTGATGTAACCTTCCTCACATTAATACATGGAACAAACAGAAATGTCATCCTTCCATCGAGTTTTCTGCATTGTTTTTCACTGTTTGAGGTTTGACTGGTGCTTTTTTAATTACATCAGCTTGTTGCACCTTCTTCTGTTTTTCCAACCGGTGAATTGGTTCCACCTATTGCTTATTTTGAACTAATTCCTAAAAATTGAATTACGGTTATTATTAATTATCACAGAGGTGTTGCAGATTCAAAACTTTGAGCAAACGTATGGATTGGGCTCTCTGCCACAGTTCTAGACTCATTGGACTCTTGTGGTGTATCCCCAGTGGCGGACTCTAACTCGCCTCCCCCTCACCCTAGCTCCACAAGTGTGTGTCCCAAGGGTCAGACCTTTCTTTACATGCTACATACATTACCCACAGACATGACATCTGTTTCCATTCATACGCAGATGACACACAGCTCTATATCTCTGTTTCATCTGATGATCTGAGCCCTGTCAACAGTCTTGAAAATTACATGTCAGGAATGTTTTTTTTTACCACTTAAAGAATAATGTGAAGGTCACTCCATCTTATGGGTCAACTGAATCAGTCAAAAAACAAACAAATTACACATATCACTACTATACTAAAACCTCTTCACTAGTGCCTGTAAGATATAGAATTGATTTAAATATGATTTTTTCATAATTTTCAAATCACTTCATGGTCTTGCTCCAGGCTACAAACTACATCACTGATAGTAGTGATAGTGGTCTACAGTTTAGGTTTCTGTCAGATCACTGCTGACTCTCTAACATTAACAGTTTCTCAGCCCAGGACAAAAGTCTACAGTGATGCTGCTATTGGTTCAATCAGCCCCAGACCCTGGAACAGTCTTCCTGTAGAGCTGAGAATGTGCAACTCACTTTCAACTTTTAAAAGAAAACTATATTTAATTTTATAATTATATTATAATTATAATTTCTCTCTTTTTAATTTGTCAAATCTTTTCTGTTGTATTAAATGCTCCTATTTCTTGCATCTGGATTTTTAAGCCGTTTAAGGCTAAAGATGAACAGTAAACCTGAATCTCATCCTGTCGCCATCTTTAGGACCCACAGTCAGCGATCCCTAAAGGTACTCTGCTGGCCATCGTCATCACTGGAGTCACCTACGTGGCTGTTGCCATCTCTGCAGGTAATATTATACACCTGAGTTTTAGGTATCAACTTGTAAGTAACTCTGCCAGTTAGCTTCTTTTTTTCCTAGATGTGTAGCTATTTGTAGCTTGTCTGCTGTGCCATGCAGACCTGGTGTTGACTGCAGCTCTTCATCTGTTGCACTAATTTTGCCATGAAAAACTGAGGCAACACTGTGATGATGTAACATTGACAGTGATTCTCAAAAAAGTCCGATCTTAGATACTGTATATCACTAATAATACTTGTTTTCTCTTGCCAAATCAGATTTTTAAATTGTGGATTATTATATTTAGTCTGTCTTATATGTTAATATGAAAATGAGAAAATGTGAGAAGTAATGTGGTTTTCTCCTCCTGCAGGCTCTTGCATTGTCAGGGATGCAACTGGTGACCACAACGACACAGTGAGCGACACGGTGAACTGTACCGACGCTGCCTGCACGCTTGGCTATGACTTCTCCATCTGCAAGGAGGGAGGCTGTCAGTACGGCCTGATGAACGACTTCCAGGTAACACTGCAGCCCATAAAGACACACACTCAGCTCAGGGGTAATTTTTTAGGAAAACCGATTTCATTGATATATTGGAAGATTGTTGATTGCTCACTAAATCAAGCAGGGTAGTTCCGTCATACACAACAGCTGATCGTTAAGGGGTTTGTCAAATAAGACACACCGGACCAACTTTGATAACTTATTAGTCATTTATTAAGCAAAAACATTTAGATTGATTTAGATTGACACTTTGATGTCATGAGTATCATACCAATATGGCAGACCAACCATGGCCTTAATGTAAGGGCATGATGGGTAATTTAACTCACTATTTTTCCATGAGTACATGAAAAAAAATGGAACTGAAATAATATCAATGACCTTGCCCCAACAGTCTCCTCATAACAAGATATTAAAGGTAGGGTCGGCCATTCTGGAGAAAGATAGTTCATTGATGAGTCTCATTCTCAGGTTGTCAAATACCGAC